ATTTCCCAAGTCAAAAACTTCTCTGACACATGTTAAACCTTTGGCCAAATCTGCTGTGTCTCAGTTTCTGCAAGGAAAACAACTTTTGAACCTGAGACAAACTTACTCTTTTTCAGGGTTTTGCTCCTCCAGTTCTTGTTTTTGTCCAGTCTATTGAGAGAGCTAAAGAGCTTTTCCATGAGCTTATTTATGAAGGCATCAATGTGGATGTGATCCATGCAGACAAGACTCAGCAGCAGGTAGGAGGATTAAATTTCTTGTCAAGAAACACTTCAGAAAGAAAGGTAAAAACAAGAGCTGGGAGTAACTCCAGGTGACTTTGGCAGCAGGTTTTGGTTTAGAGGTGTAATTTTATTCCTTTAACATCATGAGGACTTTGAGGAAACAAGTTCACCTCCTTTCTCAATTTGCTAATCAGGCTGTTTGCAAATTTCTCTTCTATTCCTAGAGGGATAAGGTAGTGCACAGTTTCAGAGCTGGGAAGATCTGGGTGCTCATCTGCTCAGCCTTACTAGCTCGAGGGATTGACTTCAAAGGAGTGAACATGGTCATCAATTATGACTTGCCAACGAGTGCAGTGGAATACATCCACAGGATAGGTGAGGGATTGCTCTCAAACCATCTCCTTGCTCCCATTTCCTAGATCTTTGCTCTTGTGTATGAAAAAAAAAACCAAAACAAACCAAACACAAGCTCTTGTATTGCTTGAGCAGTTTATTTCTGGGCTCAGCTTTCAGTAAAACCCTATCACTTTCTGTCACTCTTCTATGAACCTTAAATAGATGTTTCAGACATTCCTTTGCTTGCACTCAATAGGCACAGTCTTTGGGGACCAACTGCTTGTTATATGCTCAATGTATGAACACACATCAGGAGTTTGGGGCTGTGAGGAGGAACAAAGGGAGACACAGACTAAAGTCGCTGCTCTTTGCCACATTTGTGTTTGACAGGTCGCACTGGCAGAGCAGGGCACAGAGGAAGAGCTGTCACCTTCTTCACAGAGGATGACAAACCTTTGTTACGGAGGTAAATTGTCCTCACTTTTGTATCTTTACTTCTTGCTTTTTAAAAAAAAACCACAAAACAAAAGACCAACAACAAACCAGTCAGGGGTTGCTGTTTTCCACAGAATATGCTTATTTGTTGGATTCTGATTGGAATTAATCCCTTCCCTCCTCTCCTTTCCAGCATAGCCAACGTTATCCAGCGTGCTGGCTGTCCTGTGCCAGACTACATAAAACACTTGCCCAGGCTGCAAAGGTGTGTTCTTTTGTGTGGTGTATCAGTTTATTCCTCATTTCACAAGCTTGGGGGGTGTGAGAGCTGCAGGAGATTGAGTGGTTTGCAGTATAACTGCAGTTTGGCTGCTAAAGGAATTTTAGGGTGGGAGTGGCAGGCTTTTACCCAGACAGAATGGGAACAAAATGAATTCCCTGCTCATGGTTTTCCTGGAAACTATTTTTCTATGTGTTCCCTGAAATCTACTTTAGAGTTACTAGGCTCACTCTCCTGGATTGGATTTCTGGTACCTGAAGCAAAGTCCTTTACTCTTTTGAGTTACCTCTAGAAAAACTGGTGTAAGGGTACAGCATATAGATAAATAGTTCTTTAATTAGTGCTTTTTAATAACTTTTAATAGTTTCTAAAACTATCAACCTTTATGTATATAAATTAGATTTCTCTTAGAATCAAGTTTGAGTGGGGATAATGTGGCTGAACTAATCTTGGTGTAAACAACATGGAGAATATACTCACACCCATAAATCCCTGAGAACCAGTGAAAAGTTTTCATTAGTTGTTTCATTTAATTTGGATATTTTTTTCCCTTTAAAGTAATCTAATTCTAAATGTTGTTCTCAGCAAACAAAAGAAGAAATTCATTAAGAAGCCTTTGACAAGAGAATCCATTTGTACCATCCCAAAGTGCTTCATGAAAAAAGGCAAGAGGAAAATGTAAGTAGGTGTTTCTGAGGAGGAGGTAAGAGATGCTGTTTGTGCAGAAAAGGCCCAGAAGATTCCTCCAACAGATTACTAGTTTGGATGAACCACTCAGTCTTAATGACTTCAGTGATGTGGAGGTTTTAGTGTCAATATCTGTCTGCTGGAAATTGGATTAATGGCAAGTTTGCCTTGGATCAGGTGACAGCAAAATGAGTTGAAGCCTCTGCCCTTAAAGCCAGGCCTCAGACTAGCTGTCACCTGCCAGAACCTGTCTGTTCCTCCTCTGGCCACGTCCAGGCTTTGATTTGAACTCAGGGAATATGAATACAAGGAGCAGATCTTTAGCTGCAACGAGTAGAGCTCACAGAATTCTGGTGTGTAGCAGTTTGGCAGAGGAGAAATGGTCACATCCTTACGCACACTGTGGTGTTGCTGCTGAAGGATTTATGTTCAGCATGATACAATTTGTTCACTAACATAATAAAAACCAACTAATGACTGTGCCACTGCAGTGAACTCCATGGATTATGTTCAGGTGTCATGGGCTCTGATGTGTGTTTTTGTAGGAAAGCTACAAAGGAAAATACTAAGGGAAAGAAGAAGGTTAAAGAACACAGCAAGGACAGTGAGTTACAGACTGTTTCAGAGAGCTGAATTCAGACTCGTGGCCTGGGGCTGACACCTCTGTGCTGAAGAACAGAAGAATGAAGGTGACAGCAGTGGTGAAGGGAGAAGAACATTTCTCAAGTTTCCTTCTGGGGGAGGATGGAGCTTCACATGCAGGAAAGACTCTGCTGCAGTGCCAGAGAGGATTCCTGGATGCTTCTGACAGAAGCTGCAGCCTGTGCTCCTGCAGTGAATGCCTTGTGTGTTACTTTCACACAGTTTTGTGTTGCTCCTTGGAAATGCTCTCAGTTCTGGGTTCAGGTCATCCCTAATGTGTTTGTCAGACTTGCAGAGAGTTCAGAGACAGAAAACACATAAAGCTGATACACTGTTAGGCTTGAGAAGTGCAGCTGACACAGACTTCCCTGGACACCCCAAAAAACCCCAACCAAAGCCACTTGTATGGGAAAGTGAAGCCTTTTTCTTCTATAAAATCAATTTGCAATACTTTACATGTCTGTAAACTCCAGTAATTTTGTCCTGTTTGGTATCTGAGCCTCAAACCAGAATAAACAAGGTCAGGAGATGCTAATACAGAGACCTGTCTGTGCAGCCTTGGTGGAAAAAGTCTGCAGGCAAAAAGGCTCCACGTGTTTTCCATGTCTTCATGTGCTCAGGGTGTTCTGGTTGTGTCAGAACTCTGGTCATGCAGGAATGGCTTCTCCTTTGCAACTACAATCCATTGAGTAAGAATTCCTGTACAGGATTGTCTTGCTCTGTCATATTTATTCCAGTTTGGAAGTGGACCCCAGGTGCCTGTAACTCTTTCACAGCACTGGGTCTCTGCAATCCTTGGCAAGTTTCGAGCTGCTTCTGCCCAGCTGGGAGACTGTACTGCATATCACACCCTACCCCAGCACCTCACGGGAGGAATTCCTTCCCAATATCCAATCTTAACCCTACTATCAGTGTGAATCCATTCCCCCTTGTCCTGTCACTCCATGCTCTTGTAAAAGCTCCCAGGTCACCCCTGGGGACACATCCCTGTGTCCTCCTCAGTGTCTGGACTGAAGAGCAGCATTTTATTTTCCTTTTCATGGAAAAGTGGTTGGTTTG